TTTTTTTTGAGTTCCTGGCAGTATATTGACCTTGATTGTCAGTCCTAGTTTCATTGCCATTCTAAGTTTTCAACTTTTGTTTTTGTTAACATCTTCAGGAGTATTTTGCTGGGAAAACTGTACTCAGCAGGGATGTTAGAACTACTTAAAAATTGGAATTCGAATCTTTTTTATTTCTGTAAACCAATGGGTTTTCAACGTGTGGTCCTTGGACCAGTAGAATCAGCATTACCTGAAAACCCTTTAGAAATTCAAGTTCTCAGACCCCCTCCCCAGACCTAGTGGATCAAAAACTCTGGGGGTGGGATCCAGCAATCTGTGTCTCAACAAGCCCTGGCATTTGAGAAATGAAATTAGTGACTCTCTTTTCTTATTACTGTGGAAATCACCTGGGGAACTTCAAAAAGAAATCCAATGCCCAGCCTCAACCCCAGACAAATTAAAGCAGAATCTCTGGGGGTCAGGATGGCTTTCAGAATTTTAAAAGTACTCCTGTAAACGTGAAGATGATTCTAATGTGCGCCCAGAGTGGATAACCACTCCTGAAAAGCTTCAACTTGCAGGGAATGAAATGTCATTATTTATAGAATAATGTATTTTTAGAATTTCAAGGGACACTAGACAGCATCTCATTTTATAAATAAAGAAAAGAAGTCCCTAATTTAGAGGTATCTCTACCATTCCAAGCAGCCACATGGGGCTGGGACCTGGGACCAAGTCTTAAACTTCTTTTGCCTTATCCTGTGTTTACATTCCAGGCATTTATGCTTATATATTGACTGGCTGAATAAAAAAGAACTGTCCATGATGAGACAGCTATTTACATTTTTTACATATAGCAGACGTAAGGCTTTGCTGAAAATATTCCACTCCTCCATGAACAGAACCTACTAAGTTTAAAGAAATAGCAACATCTAAGGCTTTGGTAACCTCCACAAGCAGAAATGTCCACAGCTCCTCTTTTCACAGTCGAGGTGTTTTCTGGACATGAGAGGCAGGTCCGGGAACCAAATTCTGGCTGGTAAGTGCCCAGAGGGCATGACTCGCAAGTCTCAAGCCCGTTGGATGAGTAGGTGCCTTGTTTGCACTGAGCTAAAAAGGAAAATGTAATATGGTTAATAATGATGATAGTAAGCTGGGCAAAGTTAGCAGTGTGTGGGACAGGTGTTCTGTATTTTCATTCGGGACAGAATCAGGGACACGGGGAACTGTCCCTCCTGTTAGCCACGCAGAGACACTGGGGGCCCACATACTCCTATACACTACTAAGGCACAGACTTGTTTCCAGGTCCTTCCATTGTGATCTGTCACAGAGTTTGACGCAAAGAAAGTGTTCAATAACAGTTACTGAATGACGTTAGAAATATACAACACATAAGGACACTGTCATTAGAACGAGGTGCGCACTAGGAATTTGTTCGTGTAGAAATTCTCAGCGTGGACACGAAACAAAACTCTAAACTGTCACTACTTGGACACCATAGTTGCTCCAAATAAGAACTGGCGGTAGTAGCTCTTCCGCATGGGGACGCCACTTCATCTGGGGGTGGAGGGGAGCGAAAAATAAAAGTAGCCTCAGCTTCAGGCCCAGAGAAGTGAAGCAATTTCCTAAAATTCATGTCTGGTTTGCTGAACAGCAGGACTTGGGCCAGATTCCTGCTATTGTCCTTCTTTCTGCCTTTGACCCCCAGATGACTCTCATTTTCAGCACTGCTGACAGTTTTAGCGCATTTCCAATCCCCTGGCATTGCCCTGGAGTTCGTATTTGTCATTAAGCACCCACCCCTGCATTCACAACAATGGCAAAGAGGCACAATTTTGATATTCCTTATTTTGGGCATGTCTTGTGGTAACCCTAATCATGAAAGATGGTGTTTGCATTAGGAAATCTCATCGACGACAACAGTAAAAATATCTGGAAGATCTTGAATGTCTTAGTAGCACGAATATGTCCATCTGTGCCTGTATTTCTTTACTTCCAAGTAAATGGAGAATTGATCTCTTTCTAGTACATATTATTCTAACAAAAAAGCAATCCAATATTTGCTAAGTGTCATGAAAGGTTTTCCTACTAATTAATGGGAGATTCAAGAAAAATATCCAGGCTAATCGGTGAATGTGGATTGGTGTTCGATCCACATCGAGCAATGGACTATTTCCAAAATAAAAATGAATGGACTTCTTCAAAGGGGAAGAAACATTCAGGTAATATTTTATATTCAAAAGAAAGAATAAATAAATAAATTGCTCTCAGCAGTGCTCTTATTTCATTCCATTTACCATTCAGAACCGTGAAAGGGCTGAGACTGTCCTGCCCCAAAATATGATACATTGGCATAGTGAAAATTTTAAGCTGAAAAAAAGTAGGAGAAGACTGCAGAAAGAGGAAGATCTCCCGGAACTTCTGCCCTTTTCTCCTTGAACTAGTCATAAAACCGAGGAAGAATTCTCTGACCTTTCCTGAAGCAGATCCCCTCCAGTGAGAAGTACCCACCCTATCCTCCAAGGAAAGGAATATTCTTATTTCCAAAGACACAAGGACACAGAGAAGAATCTGAACAAACAGGTCTTGCCAAGTCGCACTTCTCAACAACTATCCACTTCCTCAGGACATTAGCATAAGCCTACATAGGCTTTCCTATCTGGGGACCTCTTCATTTCGGCAAGCTCCCATGTCACCCAAACATCATACTGAGTAAATGTGAATGCTTTTCTCTTGTTAATCGTCTTTTGCTATATAGGGTCATCACTCATGAACCTAGCTGTGGGTGAAGAAAAGAAATCTTTCTTTCCCTTCAGGTGGAAACAAGATTCGGGCTGCTTCTGGTCAAGACGTCCCCCAAACCACTACCTTTACACTCGGAGATGCTTCTCGAATGGAGATACTCGGTGTGAGTCCCCGCGGGACAAAGCTTGCACTCAAGTTGCCCTTCTTCATCTTGGTAGGATCCCATCCGGCAGCTTTCACAGACAGAATGTTCCAGAGAAAAATAGGTTCCCAAAGGGCAATTGACTGTGGAAAAAACAAACATCCAGGAAACTGCTGTAAATGGCCACCAGGAAACACAAGGCTCTTTTATGCCTGAGACATTAAAATGAAGCCTTCTTCCAGGTACTCATTTTTATGGGTTGAATTTTCCTGCCAGAGGTTTACTCACCAGGTAAGCCTTCCAGAGATGTTATTTTCAGTAACCAACAATTGGTAGATGGTTTCCTTTTTGGAGAAAATGCAAATTCTTACTGACCAGTTAAGGGCTTATGTGATGGGGGTTTTAAATTGAGGGGTTAAAGTTATGATAAACCAGATCATCGTGAGACATACATGGCTAAGGCAGAAAAAGCTGCCAGAAGAAAAGGATAAACTAGCGAACACTTAGGTTCATTTGAGGCTTTGCGATGTGGTTTTCTCAGTTGTTTCTAGGAATGCTTCCCCTGATGAAACTGACGGCTTGTCGATGACAGTGTCATTTCTCAGGACAAAAAACAGGCACCAGTGGAGAAGATTAAAACAGAGTTGGTAAGCAGAGCCTCGTCCCTGCTTGCAGGAATTATTGTCTGCTGAAGCCAAGTCTGAGGCATCCTCAGAACTAAGGGCTAAGAGGCGACAGGCCAATTTCAGAACCTTCTTTTTATGGAGATTTGGTCTACTGTTGGGTAGGTTTGGAGTGGCTCAGAAATTCTGCGACTAAAATGTAAAGTAAACTCACAGAAAAGGTTGTTATCAAAGGTAGTATTCTTACAGGGAGGACACCTGAAATTAGTACCTAGGTGTTCCCGAGATATTAAAAGCATGCAATAGGGCAGGGTGCAGTGGCTCATGCCTGTAATCCTAACACGCAGAGAGGCTGAGATGGGCGGACTGCTTGAGCTCAAGAGTTTAAGACCAGCCTGAGCAAGAGCAAGGTCCTGTCTCTACTGAAAAAGAAAAAACTCTATACTTGTAGTCCTAGATACTCAGGAGGCTGAGGCAAGAGAATCACTTGAGCCCAAGAGTATAAGGTTGCTGTAAGTTCTGACGCCATGGCACTCTGCCCAGGGTGACAGAGTGAGACTCTGTCTCAAAAAATAAAAATAATAAAAAAGCATGTAAGAATTACTTTGGTAATAGTAAAAATGCAGATTCCAAGACCTTCAATGTGTCAGATGCATTAGGTCTGGAATGGGGCCTGAGGCAAGATGCATTTTACAAGCATTTTTGGTGATGGTGACACAGGTGGTCTCAAGGCCACACCAGTCAAGGCAATTCCTAATTTTTACACACAAGGCGGGAAAGAGACAAGAGTGGGCTATAGAATGATGACAATTTTAATGTGATTTTGATGGGCTGAATTGGTCACACTAAGAAAAACCCAACTGAGCTCTTGGTATAGTGAAAGGAACCGTAGAAGAAGAGTTTCTGGACAGGACACAAAAGCCCACGTCTATAGAGAGATTAACGCAAGGCTCACGCCATTCCACTTAGCTGAGTGGTCAGAGTTCAGTTTCAGGAGATTCCATTATCTATAGATGACAATTTCGGCAGGAAACAGACTGGAATTGATCCAAACCATGGCAGCATAGTATGAAGGTTAAAAGTTGAGGGACTGGCTCGGTGCCTATAGCTCAACCGGCTAAGGCGCCAGCCACGT